TCCCCCCCGGCAGGGAGCTGAGGGTACAAACCCCCCCGTTGCTTCTCGTCTCCTCACACCTGATGTTTCTCGCAGCTCAGGGCCGGGCTTGGGTATTGTTGGTGATTAAATGAAGTGAAAAGACAGCCCGACCCTGGGAATAAGAGTCATGGAATGGGTTGGGTTGGAGGGACCTCAAAGCCCACCCAGTGCCCCCCCTGCATGGGCAGGGACACCTCCCAGCAGCCCAGGCTGCTCCAAGCCCCATCCAACCTGCCCTTCAACACTGCCAGGGACAGGGCAGCCACAGCTTCCCTGGGCAACCTGGGCCAGGCTCTCACCACCCTCACAGGGATGAATTTCTTCCTAATATCCAATCTAAATTTCCCCTCTTTCAGGTTAAAACTGCCCCCTCCCCCCAGCCCTTGTAAAACGTCCCTCCCCAGCTTTCCTGGAGCCCCTTCAGGCACTGGAAGGTGCTCTCAGGTCTCCCTGGAGCCTTCTCCTCTCCAGGCTGAACACCCCAACTCTCCCAGCCTGGCTCCAGAGCAGAGCTGCTCCAGGCCTCTGATCTTCACGTCCCTAATGAACATAACTAATGTGCATTAATGTAAGTAATTTGCATATTGACACCCCGAAAGACCTTAAGTCTTGTCATAACTTAGAGTCAATGAGGAAAGGGTCCTGCCCAACCAGTGGAAGGTGCTGGTGATCCAGGGATTCTCTGTGAATCACAGAGTAGGGCTGTCCAGGAAGGATAAAGGATACCCTTGGATAATCGAGGTAACACCAGCATCCTAGAGCCACTCCTGACACATCTTTGAACCCCTCCCAGCATCCTCTGACACCACAGACAGGTAACTCTAGCAAGGCTGACTTGATGGACATCTGGATCAATAAACAAGCAACAAGACTGTTCCAAAAGCAGAGTTTTGCTGTGATTAGTGACCAGGGCTGTGGGGGATCAGTCAGCGAAGGGCACAAGGCTGTGAAACCCCACCTGGCTGCTCCACCTTGCCTGGGACACCTCAGGGGCAGGGAGGAACGTGAGGAACGTCCCCTCTTGTAACTCTCTGCTTTGGGCTCTTGCCAGGTGTGGATTTTCCTGCCACCCCCGTGCCCCCTGCAGCATGTACCTGCGTGGCATGGCCCGTGCCCCGCGCCTGCTCCCCGCTGGGACCCCCTGGGGGCTGCTCCGGCGCTGCCTCCAGCACCGAGCTGTCATCTTTGAGGCCCTGCTCCTGCCATCCCCTCACAAGGTGGCCATGGGTGGGTATCCTCGTTTGCTCCTCTTCTTCCTACACCTGGAGGGAAATAAATAAATGTTGGGTGTCCCCATCGGCCTGGCTCTGGTCCGGGTGAGCTACTCAAGAGCTTGTGGTGGTGGCACCTCGTGGGGCCATCAGAGAATAAGGACCTGAACACCCCTGGTAATGGAGCTGATGCCACCCAGTGTTGGTGCTGTCCTTCAGGACACTTGAACAGCTCAGTGTTTTCACCCTGAGGCTGGCACCCCAAAAGAAAAGGCATCTGAGGCAACGCCAAAATGTCTTCTTTCCATGTCTGGGTAAATTACCCCAGCCCAGCAGGTCGGTTCTTGTGCCTGCTGGTCGATGGATCAGCCCTCAGAGGGACCTCCAGCCCTGTCCCAGCCCTGGTGATGCCATTCCT